CGACAGTCCAGGCTCGGATTTTTATTGATAAAGGAAGAAAAATACCAACTCGGATGAAATTTCAGGAAAGTATTTCCGAATGATCGATCGAAACGTTGTTTCTACTACACGTCTCTACCACGGGGGAGTCACCTGAATTCGACTCGAATTTCTCAAAATTCTTGAAACAATGAAATCAATTCGGAATGAAACTTGAGACGTCGACAGTCCAGGTCCGGATTTTTATTGATAAAGGAAGAAAAATACCAACTCGGATGAAATTTCAGAAAAGTATTTCCGAATGATCGATCGAAACGTTGTTTCGCGTCTCTGCTACGGGGGAGTCTCTCACTCCCGCAGAAATTACGCTGGAGAATCATGAATAAATGCTTGCCTGAAACCGGCAAGCTTTCGCAGAAACGCGATCTGTGTTATACAGCTCCTCTCTCTCTCTCTCTGTTTGTGCAATGGAGCTTCGCCTGTCTACACAGGTTACAGTGAGTATGGTGGCACAGTATGGTTCAATGGGCAATAAGTTCACTCGATGCCTCGAGCACGTCGTGTGCCTACGTGTGTCCTCCCCCCCCCCCGTGCACGTCTGTGTAGGTAATGATGATCTGATTAACGCGCGCCGCTCCTTTTATTGCAAATAAACCGATGGAAAACAAAACGAGCAATCGAGTCGACGGATTCGAGTGGAGTGGCTAATCATTGTACGCGAATCGTTCATCGCGACAGCTGGAAGAATGGTCAACAACAATGGAGCCTGGGCTCCGCGCTGTATCGTCCACCATGGTTTAGAATATCGATCTCGTCGCTCGGTAATTATACCGAGGAGTCACGTGAAGCGAAAGAATGCAATAATTCGTCCGACGAAAGTTCAGACGGGACTAATTCAGTAGGGATGGCAACGTAATACGGACAGAAAAAACCCGTATAGCTGAATTGTTAGAATAACAAATGAAACAAGCATAAATTTCACGATAACACGGCAATGATGTGAATTTTAAAATTCCCAAGGAGATTCCTTTCAGTACTGCACAACGTATGAAAGCCCGAACTTGGCAATTAAAAATAATAATCTCTTTGAGATGTTCTCGTGAAAAGTCTCGAATCTCGTATCTAAAATTATATTTCCATAGAAAGGCCAAGTGTGCGCATGCTTTCGAGCGTTCGTCTGTGTACGTGTGTGTCCCGCTAGTGCCGAAAGGGTTAACGTCCACGTAAAAATTCGCTCGAAGCACTCGAACGATCCTCGTTGTCGTGATAGGGAAAAAAAAGGCTAAAACGCTCGTCAAAGCATTTCTTCGTTTTTTTCTCTTTTTTTTTCTATTTTTTTTTTTTTTTTTTTTTTTTTAACTGATGAAAGGCGGAAGTTGTTCCTGTAGAAACCCTCTTGAACATCCCCGCGACTCGGAATAAACACGCGTATGTGCGACCGATCCAGCTGTAAACGCGATTACTCGACCGATTTCATCCGCTGGTCGCGCGGTTGTGCAGCAATTTCCCTAACTCGCGTACAAGTGCCACTTTCGAGCTGGCTATACAATGTACAAAGGGGACGAATCACACCGAGGGGAGAATAAAAGCGCATCTTGCGCCGCTAACGAGTGCCGGGGTGAAAGAAGGAAATGAGAATACCGGTGAAAATCAAGACACACGTCATCGTCTCGTTTCGGTTCTATTCAGCCTGATCTTCATCTCGAGGA